GTCTCAACTATTGGATCACTACGACAAGGTCCTAGATGCACTAGAAGACAAAAAGAATGCAGATGTAATATATACAGACTTTGCAAAAGCCTTCGACAAGTGTGACCATGGCGTAATAGCGCACAAAATGCGTGCTAAAGGAATAACGGGAAAAGTCGGTCGATGGATTTATAATTTCCTCACTAACAGAACACAGAGAGTAGTAGTCAACAGAGTAAAGTCCGAGGCAGCTACGGTGAAAAGCTCTGTTCCACAAGGCACAGTATTTGCTCCCATCTTGTTCCTCATCCTCATATCTGACATAGACAAGGATGTCAGCCACAGCACCGTGTCTTCCTTTGCAGATGACACCCGAATCTGCATGACAGTGTCTTCCATTGCAGACACTGAAAGGCTCCAGGCGGACATCAACCAATCTTTCAGTGGGCTGCAGAAAACAATATGAAGTTTAACGATGAGAAATTTCAATTACTCAGATATGACAAACACGAGGAAATTAAATCTTCATCAGAGTACAAAACAAATTCTGGCCACGAAATAGAGCGAAACACCAACGTCAAAGACCTGGGAGTGATCATGTCGGAGGATCTCACCTTCAAGGACCATAACATTGTATCAATCGCATCTGCTAGAAAAATGACAGGATGGATAATGAGAACCTTCAAAACTAGGGAGGCCAAGCCCATGATGACACTCTTCAGGTCACTTGTTCTATCTAGGCTGGAATATTGCTGCACACTAACAGCACCTTTCAAGGCAGGTGAAATTGCTGACCTAGAAAATGTACAGAGAACCTTCACGGCACGCATAACGGAGATAAAACACCTCAATTACTGGGAGCACTTGAGGTTCCTGAACCTGTATTCCCTGGAACGCAGGCGGGAGAGATACATGATTATATACACCTGGAAAATCCTAGAGGGACTAGTATCGAACATGCACACGAAAATCACTCACTACGAAAGCAAAAGACTTGGCAGACTATGCAACATCCCCCCAATGAAAAGCAGGGGTGTCACTAGCACGTTAAGAGACCATACAATAAGTGTCAGGGGCCCGAGACTGTTCAACTGCCTCCCAGCATACATAAGGGGGATTACCAACAGACCCCTGGCAGTCTTCAAGCTGGCACTGGACAAGCACCTAAAGTCGGTTCCTGACCAGCCGGGCTGTGGCTCGTACGTTGGTTTGCGTGCAGCCAACAGTAACAGCCTGGTTGATCAGGCTCTGATCCACCAGGAGGTCTGGTCACAGACCGGGCCGCAAAGGCGTTGACCCCCGGAACTCTCTCCAGGTAAACTCCAGGTAGGGGTGGGAAATGTCCGTCCCGTGGGCCGTATAATCCCCGCGAAATCATTTGGCCTGACCTGCCAAGGCAACCGCAGGCGGGACTCGAAATTCAATAAATTCAAAAGCTTTTTTCACAGCAACATAAATTTATATTAACCCTTCCCCATACCGATTTACAATGTACAATGAAAACAATACGAAACCTAAAATCCAAATAAGTATGCAGAATTATGAAGATACCTTTTAGCTTAGCATCGCAAAGAGTCAACTGCGCTCCAGACTGATCGATCCAAACCTGGAAAAGCAGTTGCGAGTAGCAATATCATCAGTACCAGTTAACATCACACGCCTCACCAAAGAGAAGCAGTTCCAGCCATCACATTAAGAGTGAGCTAATTAAATGTTTGACCAAATATAGCAAGCTGATTTTGAAACTGATTATTCTGTATAGCCCGCGAATGATGTTATAAATATCCAAATGGCCCTTGACAGAAAAAAAATTCCTCACCACATTTACAGACAGTACGTAACATATACGCAAGTGATGTGATAATCACACAGTTTTTAACATGATGCTCCAGTGGTAAATTATGCAGACTTAACTTAAGATAACCTAATAAGGCATAGCAATTGATAGCTTGAATGTTATACTGGCATATGTAAGTCAGGTTGTTCCTTCAACAATAACTCTTACTAGGACCATAAGTATTAGATATCCTAAACATATCAATGCTATTTTGCATTGTGGAGAATTCAAATCAATCTCATCAAACAGTTCGATCAATAAGTTGTAAATAACTGCTGGAACGCGAGTCCCTGTTGTCATTTGAAACATCTGTCGATAGTACAGCATTTCTCACTTTTAGTGACTGATCTAACATGTTCACACATGGCTTATGTATGTTAAAACTTGTAACTCAGAAACAATCTGTTACACGATCTAACTCTTCCTAGAGCATTCCTTATATTTATCATTCACCCTAGATTTATAAATATAATCATCATAAGTGGCTTCATCCATTCCATCCCAAACCAAAACTAACTGATCTTAACAACCAGGAGTTTCTCTTCAAATATACCTTTCCTATCACTAGACCGTCGTCTAATTTCTCCATTCCATATTGTCTCTATAGCATTTACACCATCCATTTATTTCATTCTATACGTCATCACTGAATCCAGCCTTTTCCCCGTTAGAACTTTAAGAATCCCTCCCTAGTACCTACACAAATGCTTCTGCATCAATGAACTCTCTTGTATACACATTTCTTTTACACTCAATGGTAAATTTTCTTCATTTTGCAGATGTACCAACATTCCTGATACTTTCATCTGGTCTGTTATTCACCTTATAGACGGTGGTCCGTGGCCTGGTAGGCAAAGCTCTCGGTTTACACGCTGAGTTTCCGTAGTTTGATTCCCGGCAAGCGTGGAAACATTGGGAGTGTTTCCTTATATTTGTTGTCCAGTTCACTTAGCAAGCAATTAGCTACCTGGGTGTTGGTCGACTGTTGTGGGTCGCATCCTGGGGGACAAAATTGAGGATCCCTATGGAAATAAAACAGACAGTCCCTCGATGACGCACTGCCTTTCTTCGATTATCCTGGGTGGCTAACCCTCGGAGATTAAAAATCCGAACAAATTCTTATCTTATCTCTCATAAATCCTCAATTCGTTCATTTCTTTCATGCTCTTTCCTTCCTATTTAGCCTCCAAACATTCATTCCCTAGATATTTATATAGTTTCATCACCTTAACATTTTACATGTTCACTGTCAACATCCTGTCCTCTTTACCAAATTCCTCTGACAAAATCTCTCACTCGCGACTCAGTAATAAAACGGATGTAAACACACAAACTGTAAAACTAGAGGGAAGGTGGAAAGATTTTCTTTGTGTGAGGGGTTAATGAGAAAGCAGAAGAAATTAGGCTCAAAAGCTTCTATAGGACCAGAAGTAAGAAAGACCAGCTAAATAAAATGCAAAGACGGAGCCCAAGAAGCGGAACTTAACTCTCCCAGTATGCCACTCGCTATTGTACAAAATTAACATTCAGACTGTCCACAATAATGTTAACATATGTTAATTATATACTCATCATAGGTAAAAAAATGGCTTTGATGAAATAATATATATATTATAAAATTGTTACAAAACCAAAATGTGATAACTGAATGTTCTTCAGCACTCATTATGGTGGCTCTGACGGATGAGGCGTCTCGTTGCATCACTCTCATGCTGACCTCATATTGAGCTTATATCTTGGGGGTATGAGTGCCACAAGAGGCCCTGTGTTTCAAAAACGGTGCCACAAGGGGTCCAACAGCTGGATATGTGTTCCACAAATAGTGTTCAGAGTTGATGAGTGTTCCACAAATGGTGCAACGGATGTTGTCACAATTGGTGTTACTGGCACCACTTTTAACGTTATTTCAGAAGCATTAGTCCACAAGCCATGACATGTCCTCCTTATATTAGCTTTGTTGTTGTTGTTGTGCTTATTTACCACGAGTGCCTAGAACGTAAAAGAAAATAGAATTATGATATATACTATCTAGTCTTCCAAGACAATGATACCGACTCCAAAATCTTAAATCATGTTAGTATTAAACTCTTGAAGAGTTTCTTATTTACATTTCATAAGATAACTGACTCTTCTTCAGTCATAGAGCAAAGAGACTGAGTTTCTGGTGCTTTGTAGCAGTTAAGAATATAAGTAGAAAGTCTCCGACTTACTTCCAAGACCGCCGCCGAATCCGCCGCCACCGCCTCCACCGCCGCCACCGCCGCCACCGCCGCCACCAAATCCACCGCCAGCACCGCCGCCAAATCCTCCACCAGCACCGCCGCCAAATCCTCCACCAGCACCACCCTTACCACCACCACCAAATCCTCCACCAGCACCGCCACTGCTACCACCACCAAATCCACCACCAACACCGCCACTGCTACCACCACCAAATCCACCACACAACACCGCCACTGCTGCCACACACCAAATCCTCCACCAGCACCGCCACTGCCACCACCACCACCAAATCCACTACCAGTACCTTTATTGCTGCCACCATGATGACTACCACCTCCAAGGCCACTACCGCCACCTCCCCCAATTCCTCCACCTCCTCCTCTACCACCGCCTCCTCCTCCACCTCCTCTACTCCACCAACACCACCTCCTCCAAATCCTCCACCTCCTATTCCACCACCACCACCTCCTCCAAGTCCTCCACCTCCACTGCCACCTCCACCAAATCCACCACCAGCACCACCCTTACTACCACCACCAAATCCTCCACCAGCACCGCCACTGCTACCACCACCAAATCCACCACCAGCACCGCCACTGCTACCACCACCAAATCCACCACCAGCACCGCCACTGCTACTACCACCAAATCCACCACCAGCTCCGCCGCTGCTACCACACCAAATCCTCCACCAGCACCGCCACTGCTACCACACCAAATCCAGCACCAGCACTGCCACTGCTACCACCACCAAATCCAGCACCAGCACCGCCACTGCTACCACCACCAAATCCACCACCAGTACCACTACTGCCACCGCCATGATGAGTACCACCTCCGATGCCACTACCACTACCTCCCCCAATTCCACCACCACCTCCTCCTCCTCCTCCTACTCCTCCTCCTCCTCCTCCTCCTCCTCCTACTCCTCCCTCCTCCTCCTCCTCCTCCTCTACCACCACCTCCTCCAAGTCCTCCACCTCCTCCAAGTCCTCCACCTCCTCCAAGTCCTACACCTCCTCCATGTCCTCCACCTCCTCCAAGTCCTCCACCTCCTCCAAGTCCTCCACCTCCTCCAAGTCCTCCACCTCCTCCAAGTCCTCCACCTCCTCCAAGTCCTCCACCTCCTCCATGTCCTCCACCTCCTCCAAGTCCTCCACCTCCTCCAAGTCCTCCACCTCCTCCATGTCCTTTACCTCCTCCAAGTCCTCCACCTCCTCCTCCTCCTCCAATACCACCACCTCCTCCTCCTCCAAGTCTCCACCTCCTCCAATTCCACCACCGCCTCCTACTCCTTTTCCATTACCAATGCCACCTCCTCCTCCTCCTAATCCACCACCTCCAAAACCTCCACCACCTCCAATGCCACCACCTCCTCCTCCTCCTCCAAATCCTCCTCCTCCTCCAAATCCTCCACCACCTCCAAATCCTCCACCACCTCCAAATCCTCCACCACCTCCAAAGCCGCTTCCTGCAGCTGCAAGATAAACACAAATAACTATAACAACCACATCTGTGTTGAAGATAATATTTTTAATAACTTTATCTTAAATTATTTAATGTAACTAGAAAACAAAACAAAAAACTGGAACTTATAACAAGTAAATAATAAAGAAAAGAGTAAACAAAAATGATTAGTTTATATTAATTTAGTGATCATTTTATTTAATGAAACATTACCCACATAATCTCTTAATAAATCAAACATTCAAGACCTCATAACAGATGGGAAAATTTGGCAATTTCTTGTACTATGATGAAGTATTTGACAAGATAATATTTTTTTACTGCCATTTATTTTTTTCTTACTGGCGAGTAATTTATATTTATAAATCAATGAAAGTTGTGTAAGTTAACCCATGTTGTCAAGGTAAGACTTTATTTATGGGCTCTAATGCAACGCTTTTAGTTAATTTTTATTAAGCTGTGTGTCGGCTCAGAATTTTGGTATTAGGATTTTGTTTTTCTCAAAATAATTGTACACATTATTGTTCAAAGACAAGCCGGGGATCGAACTCGTGTTGTTTTAGCCTGCCTCATGGTGAGCGAAAATTCACGACACTCTAACCCGCTGGACCATCTAATCCTACAAAGATCACACTCCCAGCAGAGCTAGGTGTTGTACCGTGATCCGAGGATATACGATGGTGTGGGTGCCTCAGAGCTAATTTCATTCTAATCACCGTTTGGAGTACTCGCCTCCACAAACAGTAAATATAGTATTGTAACCACGAACGAGTGGTATTTAATCAATAACAAAACGGAGTAGAATGAAATTAGCTCTGAGGCACCTACACCTTCATATGTCCTCGGATCACGGTACAACACCTAGTTCTGCTGGGTGCATGATCTATGTAGGATTGGATGATCTAGCGGGTTAGAGTGTTGTGAATTTTCTCTTACCATGAGGCAGGATATATATATACATTTATTATATATATATATATATAATATATATATATAATATATATATATATATATATATTATATATATATATATAATATATATATATATATATATACACGTCCTTTCACTACACATCAATACTGTATTTAAAAATAAGTTATACAGCGTTGTCAAGTGCAATGTAAATATTTGCACTCCTACCCAGTTGGCAAATATAAAGCTTCAAATCTTAGGATATGTGAATCATTTCAATATTTTAATTAGAACAAAGCGAGAAACCACTTGGACATCAATGAAAGAGACCTGCATATTCAGGTCTCAGTCAGAGACTCTTCCTCAGATGAGGGTCACTGACTGAGAGTGAAATTTACAGACTTCTTTCACCTGTTTTTCATGTTTCTGTCCAACTTTTTTTTCATTTTGCAGCGATCAGTGTGAATGGCACTTTAATCGAAGGATATTTATTTATTAATAGTGCGAAAACTAAATAATAATATATAATATAGTTATATATTGCTATTATATATGATAGACACGGGCATAATGCCAAAACACATAAAAATATAATATATAATATTATATAATAGTTTCTCACAGTTATCTCCATTGTCATGTTAACATAAGAATTATTTTGCAAATAGTACAATACTAAATTAAATTATCAAAATTCTAAATTAAATCATGTTTCCTCGTGCTGTATGAAAACACATGTGAACGCTGCAAGACTTCTTACACAAAAATTTATTTTTTATTTTCGTCTTGGTATTGAGCGAGTCGTCATTCCAAGCCACAAGCCTATATCAACTATTTTATATATTGTTTATTATGCTTATGTTGCATCGTTCACCCACACACACACATATATTACATCTAATATATCACAAGTTCCTCTACTCACCATGAGGTCTTCCCGTCACGGACACCAGGACGGTCAGGGCCAGGACCCCGACTGTGTAAGGTCTCTGAGGAAGACAAACAAGGTGTAATTAACATGTATGCCCTTCAAGGAGGGATTCCTTGATGTTCGCGTAGAGCTCTTGATCCTGAGAATTAAAGCTACACTTCCCTTACTCAGATCAAACGTAATTAACTCTCATTTCCCAAGGACTTCCCCTTGAATATATTGAGTAATAGACATAAAGGGTAATGTCATTATGTATCACAATCTTGAAAGAATGCTTCCTGACAAAACAAAATTCTTCAAGAAAAAAGAAACGAAATTCTGTTATACAAGCTGTGGACGCGACGGAATATGAAGATATGAGACACAGAAGCCACTTTAACATACCATTCACATAACAAGCTGAAGAGCATATAAATACAACGTATGACGAAATTATTTTTTGAATAAGAAATCACCCAATTAAATACCTCAGGAGACAATCTGCGGTATATATATACAATTTTTTCCAAGCTGTGACTGGCTGTGAGAATGTTGGTTTCTTACCATAGCAGCTGTGGTGGCAGAACCTCGTGTCTCTACTGATGTTGGAGCCTTCTATATATACTGGAAGCCAGCAGTGACGTCATCACGAAAGTAAATACACTGAAAAGTCATCTGGACGCGTGAACACAACAAAAAGCGAAGGACACTTAGGAACAAGAGAAGACTGGTGATAAATAACTGTGTTGGGAGTAGACATTAATTGAGAGCAGATACTGAAGAGACATTTTTAAACTAGAGTAAATGACTTAAAAACCGAAGACGTAAGACTAATGATATTGTATTATTGCTTTAAGGTAAAGTGAGAATACCGTTCATTTCTAAACATAAACACACACACACACACACACACACACACACACACACACACACACACACACACACCACACACACACACACACACACACACACACACACACACACACACACACACACACAAACACACACACACACACAAGTGAAGTAGTGGAGGCAGGAACCATACATAGTTTTAAGAAGAGATATGACAAAGCTCAGGAAGCAGAGAGGGAGAGGACCCAGTAGCGATCAGTGAAGAGGCGGGGCCAGGAGCTGAGTCTCGACCCCTGCAACCACAATTAGGTGACTGCAATTAGGTGAGTACACACACACACACACACACACACACACCAGCGACCAGTGAAGAGGCGGGGCCAGGAGCTAGGACTCGACCCCTGCAACCTCAACTAGGTGAGTACAACTAGGTGAGCACACACACACACACACACACACACACACATACCAGCGACCAGTGAAGAGGCGGGGCCAGGAGCTAGGACTCGATCCCTGCATCCTCAACTAGGTGAGTACAACTAGTTGAGTACACACACACACACACACACACACACACACACACAAACACACTCACACACACACACACACACACACAGTCATGGTACGTGGCGAGGTGTCAGAGTGGGCACCTGTGACCAGCGGGGTCCCACAGGGGTCAGTCCTAGGACCAGTGCTGTTTCTGGTATTTGTGAACGACATGACGGAAGGAATAGACTCTGAGGTGTCCCTGTTTGCAGATGACGTGAAGTTGATGAGAAGAATTCACTCGATCGAAGACCAGGCAGAACTACAAAGGGATCTGGACAGGCTGCAGACCTGGTCCAGCAATTGGCTCCTGGAGTTCAATCCCACCAAGTGCAAAGTCATGAAGATTAGGGAAGGGCAAAGAAGACCGCAGACGGAGTACAGTCTAGGGGGCCAGAGACTACAAATCTCACTCAAGGAAAAAGATCTTGGGGTGAGTATAACACCAGGCACATCTCCTGAAGCGCACATCAACCAAATAACTGCTGCAGCATATGGCGCCTAGCAAACCTCAGAACAGCATTCCGACATCTTAATAAGGAATCATTCAGGACCCTGTACACCGTGTACGTTAGGCCCATATTGGAGTATGCGGCACCAGTTTGGAACCCACACCTAGCCAAGCACGTAAAGAAACTAGAGAAAGTGCAAAGGTTTGCAACAAGACTAGTCCCAGAGCTAAGAGGTATGTCCTACGAGGAGAGGTTAAGGGAAATCAACCTGACGACACTGGAGGACAGGAGAGATAGGGGGGACATGATAACGACATACAAAATACTGAGAGGAATTGACAAGGTGGACAAAGACAGGATGTTCCAGATATTGGACACAGTAACAAGGGGACACAGTTGGAAGCTGAAGACACAGATGAATCACAGGGATGTTAGGAAGTATTTCTTCAGCCACAGAGTAGTCAGTAAGTGGAATAGTTTGGGAAGTGATGTAGTGGAGGCAGGATCCATACATAGCTTTAAGCAGAGGTATAATAAAGCTCACGGCTCAGGAAGAGTGACCTAGTAGCGATCAGTGAAGAGGCGGGGCCAGGAGCTCGGACTCGACCCCCGCAACCTCAACTAGGTGAGAACAACTAGGTGAGAACACACACACACACACACACACACACACACACACACATGACACACAAACGTGACACACACACACACACACATGACACACACATACACACACACACACACACACACACACACACACACACACACACACACACACACACACACACACACACACACACACACTATATAGACCTATATAGACCTGTGTCATTGACGTACATAGTATGCAAAATTATGGAGAAGATTATCAGGAGGAGAGTGGTGGAGCACCTGGAACGGAACAAAAGTAGAAATGCCAACCAGCACGGATTCACGGAAGGCGAATCCTGTGTCACAAACCTTCTGGAGTTTTATGATAAAATAACAGAAGTAAGACACGAGAGAGAGGGGTGGGTTGATTGCATCTTCTTGGACTGCAAGAAGGCCTTTGACACAGTTCCTCACAAGAGATTAGTGCAGAAGCTAGAGCATCAGGCGCATATAACAGGAAGGGCACTGCAATGGATCAGAGAATACCTGACAGGGAGGCAACAACGAGTCATGGTACGTAATGATGTACCACAGTGGGCACCTGTGACGAGCGGGGTCCCAAAGTGGTCGGTCCTAGGACCAGTGCTATTTTTGGTATATGTGAACGACATGATGGAAGGGTTAGACTCAGAAGTGTCCCTGTTTGCAGATGATGTGAAGTTAATGAGGAGAATTAAATCTGATGAGGACCAGGCAGGACTTCAAAGAGACCTGGACAGACTGGACACCTGGTCCAGCAAATGGCTTCTCGAATTTAATCCTGCCAAATGCAAAGTCATGAAGATAGGGGAAGGGCACAGAAAACCACAGACAGAGTATAGGCTAGGTGGCCAAAGACTGCAAACCTCACTCAAGGAGAAAGATCTTGGGGTGAGTATAACACCGAGCATGTCTCCGGAAGCACACATCAATCAGATAACTGCTGCAGCATATGGGCGCCTAGCAAACCTGAGAACAGCATTCCGATACCTTAGTAAGGAATCGTTCAAGACACTGTACACCGTGTATGTCAGGCCCATACTGGAGTATGCAGCACCTGTTTGGAACCCGCACTTGATAAAGCACGTCAAGAAACTAGAGAAAGTACAAAGGTTTGCGACAAGGTTAGTTCCAGAGCTAAGGGGAATGTCCTATGAAGAAAGATTAAGGGAAATCGGCCTGACGACACTGGAGGACAGGAGGGTCAGGGGAGACATGATAACGACATATAAAATACTGCGTGGAATAGACAAGGTGGACAAAGACAGGATGTTCCAGGGAGGGGACACAGAAACAAGAGGCCACAATTGGAAGTTGAAGACACAAATGAGTCAGAGAGATATTAGGAAGTATTTCTTCAGTCATAGAGTTGTAAGGCAGTGGAATAGCCTAGAAAATGACGTAGTGGAGGCAGGAACCATACACAGTTTTAAGACGAGGTTTGTTAAAGCTCATGGAGCGGGGAGAGAGAGGGCCCAGTAGTAACCGGTGAAGAGGCGGGGCTAGGAGCTAAGACTCGACCCCTGCAACCACAAATAGGTGAGTACAAATAGGTGAGTACACACAGAACCCCACAACCAATCAGGCTATAAAAACACAAACTACAATCCACACCCACAACTCCCACCCAGCACTCAGCTATAGAATCTCACAGTATACTGCTAGGTCCCCCACACTCACAGACCCCCAAAACACAGTGTTGGAGAGGAAACTGAAGGTATGGTACACCAACGCTGATGGAAAAACAAATAAGTGGAAGGAGTGGCACGAAAGAGTGAAAGAGGCATCACAGGACATCATAGTTCGCACAGAAACCAAGCTCACAGGTATGATAACAGATGCCATCTTTCCAATGGGATACCAGATCCTGAGGAAAGACAGGGGAAACAGAGGGGGTGGAGGAGTGGCACTGCTGGTCAAGAACCGATAGGATTCTGATGAACTGGACAGAGGAGACTGTGGAGAAGCAAGGGATTACATAGTAGGAACACTTCAGTCTGAAGGTGCCAAGGTGGTAATTTCAGTGATGTATAACCCACCTCAGAACAGCAGGAGGCCAAGGCAAGAGTATAATGAGAGTAATAGAGCAATGGTTGACACACTGGGTGAAGGGCTCACGCGAACAGGGCAAAGCTACTGATCATGGGTGATTTCAAGGAAATCATTTGGGAGAACTTGGAGCCACAAGGGGGCCAGGAAACGTGGAGGGCTAAGTATGATGGAGGTGGTACTGGAAAACTTCATGTACCAATACATAAGGGACACTAGCAGAGAGAGAGGAGTATATGGACCAGCGAGGCTGGCCCTAGTATTCACCTTGAATAGTGCTGATATTGAGGATATCAGATATGAAAGACCCCTTGGGGCTAGCGATCATGTGGTTTTAAGATTCGAATACACAGTAGAGTTACAAGTGGAGGGGTTGAGCAGGAAGAGCCAGACTAATAAAACCAAACTACAAGAAGGGGGACTACGTGAGAATGAAGAACTTCCTGAATGGGATTCAGTGGGACAGAGAACTAGCAGGGATGTCAGTAAACGAGATGATGGAATACGTGACAACAAAATGCAAGGAAGCTGAGGAAAGGTTTGTACCCAGGGGTAATAGGAATAATGAAAAAGCTAGGGTGACCCCATGGTTCACCCGAAGGTGCAGGGAGGCCAAAACCAAATGTGCTAAGGAATGGAAGAAGTATAGAAGGCAAAGGACCCAGGAGAATAAGGAGAGTAGTCGTAGAACCAGCAGCGAAAGCCAAATCTGACAGGAAGTTGTTGTACAGTCACATCAGATGGAAAAAAAACCTGTCAAGGACCAGGTAATCAGGCTAAAGAAAGAAGGAGGGGAGATCACAAGAAATGACCGAAAAGTATGTGTGGAACTCAACATGAGATTCAAAGAAGTGTTCACAGAGGAGACAGAAGAGACTCCAGAAAGACAGAGAGGAGGGGTACACCACCAAGTGTTGGACACAATACATACAACCGAGAAAAAAGTGAAGAGGCTGCTGAGCGAGCTAGACACTTCAGAGGTGACAGGGGCCGGATAACATCTCTCCATGGGTCCTGAGAGAGGGAGCAGAGGCGCTACATGTACC